TTTAGGGAGAGTGGAAGAGAGAAGGAATGACAAAGAGAAACATCAATGTGAGAGAAACACATCGACTGGTTGCCTCCTACACAAGCCCTGGTCAGGGCCCAGGCCAGGGAAAAGCTTGCAGCCCTGCAACCAAGGTATGTGGCCTTGACTGGAATTGAACCTGGGGCACTTTGGTCCGCAGGCTGATTCTCTATCCATAAGCCAAACTGGCTAGGGCCAATATGGGTTTGTTTTCTGCATAGCGAATGATTAGATTGCTTGTGTTAAGTCCTGGCTGGTGTAGCTCAGTGGTTAAAGCATGGGCCTGTGCACTGAAGGGTTAGCAGTTTGATTCCCAGCCAAGGGCACGTACCTGGTTTACAAGTGTGAGAAGCAACCGATAGATCCCACACTGACTCTCTCTCCCTCTCCCTCTCTCTCTCTCTCTTTCCACACCCCTCCCTTCCACTTTCTCGCAAAAAAAAAAAAAAACACTGGAATAACCCCCGAATGGGATTAACAAAACAAACAAAATTGCTTGGTTTAAGAGATAAAATTAGAGAACAAAGATGGTGGCCTAGGTAAATGCTGCCTCCCACAACTACATCAAAATTACAACAAAAATATAGAACAACCAACATTCAGAACTGCCTGAAATCTGGCTGAATGGAAGTCCTACAACTAGAGAAGTAAAGAAGAAAGCTCATTGAGACTGGTAGGGGGCAGAGGCTGGGAATGGGCTAGTCTGACACCCATGTGTGTCATTTCTTTAATTGAGAGGGATATCTCCTAGGCCTACCTAGAGAAACAAGGGATCCTAGCCCCACACCAGACCCCCAGCCCGGAGCCCAGAGCTGGGAAAATAAGTCCCTGTAACTTCTGGCTATAAAAACCAGCCGGGACTGTGGCTGATTGACATGAAGGCTGCTGAAGTCCCAGGTGTTCCTCTTCAAGGGCCCAACAAACTTATATGGTTCCACTTGCTCTGAGCTCCTGCACCAGGTAGTGGCTTTGGGGGAATCCAGTGACATATGGAGAGGAACTGAACTGTCTAGCCAGGTGGGAGTTTGGGGGCAGCTTTCTTCCAGACAGGAGTGTTCATAGGGGTCATTGTTCCTGTGCTGGGACCTCCTCCATTGCAAAGCTGACTGGTGGCCATATCTGAGGCTTCATCAGCATGGTCCACACAGTTCGCTCCACCCTGGTGATTCCCTGAGGCCCCACCTCATCCAATTTGCAACCCCACCCAAGTTGTTTGCAGCTACTTTTTCATATGATGGCCTGTCCTGTCTCAGGTTTCAGACTTTTCTAAAAATCTCTAAAGGAGTAGCAGCTGGAGTCAATGTGCACCAAACCTTTCAATAATAGGCCTAAGACCTAGCACCAGCCTGCCTTATTTCACAGCTGGGCCTCACCTGGACACTTTCTAGCCCAATACAAATAGCAGCCATCTGCAGATCTCTCTGTAGCTCCCACTGGATGACCCCAGGCAGTGGCTGGCTTTGCACCTCCCTGGAGGCCCCAGAGCCAGTGAACCTAGTAGACAGCCTCAGACCATACCAGATTGCAACTCTACACATCCACATGCAACACATTCAAGGGGCAAACTCAGTAGGCACCAAAGCCCCACTAAAGTCCTGCTCCATAAGGTTTCTCCTGCATAGCAGCTCTTTCATTATACGTGAAGCTGATCCTCACAGCCAATTGGCCTGGAGGCCAATTCCTTCCAGTGATGCCAACGGCAGTCAAGGCTCAACCACAGCAAGACTGTGCACACAGCCCACACCTAGAGTGCCCAGCTCAGGTGACTGGGGAGGCTGAGCCA